AAAAAAACTTTCAATTAAAATTAAAATTGAGTTATGAGAAAATCTTTACTGCAATAGCTACTACCGAATGCCACAACTTCAATTACAAAAAATATTAGTTGACAATTATTTGCCATATGGCAAACTGGGAGGGACTTTGTATTTTATCCTTCATTTTTTCCATGGATTGGTATTTCACTGATGGATTTAATGGTGTCTTTTTCTATTTGTAAAATAACGGTATCTTTTCCCTGGGCACTGGCGTCGCCAATTTTGAGTTGGTCACGTTTTAATTCTCAAAACATGACTTTTTTATATTATATTATTAAAATAAATTATGTCAAAGTCAAAAGCTTTAAATTTATAAAGAATATAGAGTGTATTATCTCATTATTTTATTAAAAATTTAATATAAATAATAATAATAATAATAATAAAATATTAAACAAATATGATATAATCATTCATGACTATTATAAGTGAAGCTAAGTTTCATTTTGTTTTTACTTTATTATTTATCTTTTTTTTTAAGTAAAAAGATAAATGATATATTTAGGTACAAGAGTTAATAATATTATTAAAGAAGCAAAGGTTAAAAATTAATGTGTTCTGTGATAAACTAAAAAAATAAGTACTGAACTTTTAATACTGAATTTTATTTTATGAGTACTGAATTTGTTTTATAAAAATTATGTACTAAACATAATTATATTGTTTGATAAATATAAGTATTGAAGTTTAAAAATAAATAATTTTGGATAAAACTTAAAAGAGATAATTTAGTTCAAATATAATTTTTTGAATAAAATTGACTGATTATGTTTTGTATTAAGTGATAAATAACTTCTTATCTATTTATTTTATTCAATATTTTTTGTTAAAATTTTTTTATTAAGTAGCATTTAGTATGAGTTATCAAACATATTAAAAAACTAGTTTTATGACTCGTGTAATGCACGTATTAGCTTTATTTATTTAAATTAGCTTGTGATCCATATGGTGTTGGAATTAATTTTATTTATTTAATTTGAAATTATAATTATAAAATGATATTAAATTTTAAACAAACATAAAATATAAAGGTATTATTCAAAAATATTAAATTTCTTGTTTTTTTTTTTAATTTTTTAAGTGAAAATAGATTATTGTATAAACTATTTTAAAATTTTATGTAATTATCAAATTTAATCTTGAAAATAATATATTTAAATTTACAAAATGATGGAAAGCTTTGAAAAATAAACACTTTCCTAGGTTTGAGGATATAAATTGGATAATGCTAAAAAATATAATGAAGTGCAAATTAATTAAATTATCATTCATAATTAAAAATACATATTTTCATTTTCATTTTTATTATTTTATCTTTTACATTTAAATATCTATATTTGATGAAAAAATTCTTATATTACAAAATTAAAGAAAATAATTTTTTTTTATTATTTGAACAATTTGATTTTAAAAGTTAAAAAGTTGTATATACTATAAATAACTGTCTTGAAAAATCTTATAAAAAAAAAAAAACTTTTCATCTCCGTCTCAATGTTAAGTTATTAATATAAAATGACAAAGTTTAATAACAAAGTAGATATACTTATCATCTTATAAAGATTAATATTTTCAATAAACAAAAGCAAGTGGTATTATATAATTTTTATAGTTTACTTTCTTACTTCTACCACAATGGAGTAGCCCTAACTCAATCTTTTCACTTCTGTATTTCATAGATACAACAATTAGCAATTCATAACAAAAAAAAAAAAAAAAACTCACGTAGGATTATTTTATTATTACATTGTACAAATCAAAAGGTGTTAAGTTGTAGCATAAGACAGACATACTTCAATTCTTACTTCTTACAATAATCTAGTTAAACAAAATGGAGTATTTAAATATTGCCATTATAATTTTAATTGATATTTACTTGATAAAACTATTATTCTACTTGATGGATGCTTGATTTTGAAGTTTCAATTCCCTCAATTTAATATATAACCTATTATTCCTAAAAACATGTTTTAGAATAAGGTCATTGTAGTGCAAAAATCCCACAAATTAATGGCAAAACTATAATTACTGATCAAGTAAAATGAAAATTGGTAAGAGATCTTTTGTCACAATGGTATTTTTTTAAAAGGAACATCAATTGCCAACGAAAACCCTAAAAGCTCTGGATTGGATGTTTTGTAATTAACATCCCTTTTAATCATTAAACAACTACTAAGAATCAAAATAATAGTTTTCCAAAATAAAAAAAGAATATATGCAATTGATAGTGAATGAAAGAGATGAAGATGATATTTTATTTTATACAAATACGACTAATATTATAGGTATGTGCAATTGATGGACTAAAAGAATAATAAGAGAAATTCAGCACAAAAATATTTCATCAAGGTGGAAGATGGTATCCATTAAATAGTAAAATAAAATGATATTTGGTCTTTTAAAATTTAGTAGGAAATTTATAAAAATAAATTTATGTTTAAAATTTTTAATTTAAAACAAATATATCTAGATTGTTAAAGATATATTTAAATTATATATATATTTAAAAAGAAATAATATATCTAAATTATTAGAGATATATCTAAAATATATATATTTTAAATTTAAAAAGAGATACATAGATGGGTTAATAGTTCATTTTTAAAATGAAATAACAAAATTATTTATTTTATTCTAAATATATTTGAAAAAAGTGAGTTTGAGATAAATTTTATCTAATTTTAAATTAAAATAAGACTCTTGAAATATTAAAATAAATCTAATTTTTAAACTTTCAAATATTTTTTAAAATGCAATAATTATTGAATGGGATTATTTGGTTAAAAATTTAAATTAAATTATTATCTTACATGTTAAAAATATAGGTTATCTATGTAAATATCTACGTAACATAACTTATCAGATATTCATGTATTCTATAATATAATCTATATTAGATTAGATATGTGTGTAAATATATAAATTAATATTATTTAATTTATATACTAAAAATATATTTAAAATATAATATAAAATAGGATATCGATATAATCCAAGCCACTATCTTTTTTTCTTTTTTGAAATATTGTCACATATATTTTGAATTTAAAAATGATCATATAATAAGTGATATTTTTATTTTTAAATTAAAAAACAAATAATAAAGAATTGTTAGGAATTTATGAAGATAAAAATTATATTGAGATTTTTAAATTTAAAAAGAGATATCTCTAACTTGTTAAATTAATGTTTGGAATAAAACAATCATAGTTGGAATAATCTTTGTGATCCATTTTGACATAGTACAGCTCAAAATTATATTTTAATTTTTGTTGTTGTATTCTATCAAAATACAAATTTAAAATTTAAAAGTATTTAGTTTCTAAAAAAGAAAAGAAGTAGATACCAAGATATAAAATATTATAAAAAGGAGAAAAAATGCATTTTAACTTTATATGAATATTGAATTATATGAAAAATGAATTCTCGTGCCAATAAATATATAATATGAATATGATAAGAATAAAAATAAAAATACGAAAAAAAAGAAGAGAAATGGGTTTCAAAATTATGTAAAATTTTAACATCATACGGCTATTAGATTATATGGACAATCTATATATTCCTATGTCAATTTCTTTTCTCTCAAAGCAATTGAATAAAATTTTAATTGAATCATAAAAAAGTTTGACATACCTCTACTATTATAATTGTAATAAAAATACTAAAAAAAATGAAAAATAGAAAAATGCTATTATGTAACTTTTTAAATCATATAATATTTTTAAATATTTAACAGAAATCAAAACTTGACTTTTCAATATTATAAAAAAAGTAGGTATGTTAAATATAACAATGTATTTATTATGCCAACATAACCTTCCAATATTTGCTCAAATAAAATTTTTTAAAATTAATAATATCATATATAATGAATATTATAATCATTTGCTTATCCATGTATAGCATGGATTTAAAATTAGTTTAATTAATAAAAGTATTTTATTATTTATTTTAATTTTAAAATGTATTTTAAAATTAATATTTTATTGAGTTTGATGAGGTGAGTTTGGCTTGGTCCAATCAATAGATACTTTATGAAATTTTCATTTCATCATAATCTTTCATTTTTTTAAAAAAAATTTTCTTATCTCCATGTTTAATATTGGATGACAAACATTATAAAAAGTTTCATATTTCTTGAACAAAAAAAATAAATAAATTTATGACGAATTGGAAAAGTTAGTTCGATTTTGCTTCATGATTTTTGACCTTTTTTCTTGAGTTATTTGTTTTTCTAATTTTTTTTTTATTAAAGCTAAAATCAGATTTAACTTGTCCACATTTGTATTTAAATTGAATTGATCAAGCTGTTGTAAGTTGTAACTCAACTCATTTTCTCTTTATTTGGTTAGCAAATAGTAAATCCAGTTCAAATTTTGATTGAACCTTTAGATATTTAGATATAAGTTTTAAATTTGAATCATTTTAAGTGAGTAGTATAAAATTTTATTTAATGTATCTTTAAAATAATTTAAATAAGTCGATTTTAAATTTTAAATAAATTAAATATGAGTAGAGTAAAAAGTAAAATATAAAATTTATATTTAATATATCGATACAATTTTAATTTAATAATTTTTTTTATATTTTATATATATTTAATAGGATACTAAACCTAACAAACATATAAATTATCAAATATAATGTTAAAAAATATTAATTACGTCGAATTTGAGAGGAGTTGAGTTCAAAAAACCTGCCTTCTGTCAATGTATATAAATCATCAAATATTATTAACTGGTAACTTAACTAACCTTACTCGTTATAACAAAATCCTTTATTAATACTAATGAAAATTTTATAGTTTTTAAAGGAAAATCAATTATTAAAGACGAAAAAAAAGTTCAAATATAAAAAAATAAATTAAAAAAATTCCAAGTCGCACGTGCAAGTCTTATCAAATGAGAACGACTATTTTGACTTTTAAAAGTCCCCAACTCATAGCCTGTACCGTTTGCCATTCCTTTCAAGTGGGAATTGTAATCAAATTTCTTTTTTAAAAATTTTTACAAACTTAATAACGTAAGAAATCCAAACCAAAGCATAAGTCAGACGTAAAAAATATATTTAAAATTCCCAATAAAAGTATAAAACATATAAAATGACGTCATAAATCACAATCGTGATAAAGTTTCAATGAACTTTTAGGGACGAAAAGTATATTATTTAAAACCTGAGGGAGGACTAAGAAAATTTCCCTTTTGTTTTGCTTATTGCAGTTGTTGTCCAGTTATACTCGAGAAAGACCAGCATTAACTGCATAACTCAATTATTACACGATTTTAAGGTTTTCTGAATCTTTGTTGCATCTAGCTAAAAAGCATCTAAGGTTAGCTTCTAATCTGGGTTTTGTTTGGTTGCCAAGAAAATATAGTATAATTAAAGAAATAAGAAAAAAAGAATTATGGTTTAAATCTGTCTGGCTTTGGTTTGTTTGCTTGGATATACGGAAAAAGTAGTTTACTTGACCAAATTGGGATGCTTGGTCTTTACAGCTGTTTGTTTTTCTTGTTTTGTTTTTTAATTCTTTGTGACACAAAAAAAAAAAAATTCGAGATTCAATTTTTCTCTATGTTCTTAGGAAAACAGGAAAATGAATATATATATATATATATTTTGGTTTTGTCATTTGGGGCTAATGCTGTAGTGTTTTGGCTTGAATTCTAATGAAAGGTTTTGGTTCTTAGAAGTTTCAAGTTTGTGTAATGGAAGATTTTACAACGGCTACCATGTTTTTTGTTTTTGCCCTTTCAAAATATGATCTTTTTTTTTTCTTTTTTTGTAGTTGTAGATGTTATTGATTAGATTATAATTTCTTGATGTGCTCAAAAACTGTGGAGAATTGAGAAGTTTTTTTTACCTGTTTTGGGAGTTTGAACTGGTGGGGACTTTCCAGGAGATCTTTAAGTCTTCTCCTTGACCGTTCAACTTTCAAGCAAATTTAGGTATGTTTCTAATATTAGGAGGCAAAACACATTTGGCAGTTCAATTACTCATCTTGTTAATGTAATTGCACTCAGAATCCTCTTTAGATTTACCTGAGCTGATTTTTCAACTAAAATTTTTTTATCATCCATTTATGTAGGACTTCTTTTTAAACTTAAATTATCCTTCATTCAGTTCTGTCTTTTTTTCTTTGATGTGCAAAGGATGGACTATCTCTAGCCTATTATCTAATTTGAACAAAATATCCACTGCGATTGTTTCTTTTTATTCCATCATTAAGTGGAATTAGGTATGTCTGCTATGGTTTTCATCGTCTTCTGTTTTCTGCCACTCTTTTCTGCTCCTGTTTGATCACAATTGCCTCTTTTTCTTCTAGTGCCTGGATTAATTCTACACATTTGGAATACTATCTCAAAATAGTTCAATGATCATTTTCTTGTGAAGAACTCTTTCAACTCATGTATGCTACTTTTCACCATTAAGAAATTGAACTGGACTCTTGGTGCTGCTCATTGAATCTGGAATAATTTTAAGTTCTCCAGCTTTCTGCATGCAGTTAGACTGTTACATGAACATCTCTATAATGGTTCACCAAACTCTTGCTATTGCGTTTGTTTATGGGTTCTTGAAGAACATTCCAAAGGTTTTCCTTTTTAGTGCCTAACATACTGAAAAGTCATATTTCATGCATAAATTCTCTGCCTTGATGCTTCTATGAATCTAATCAATGGAAAAGGTTTTATTTGATCTTAACATGGAGCTTATAAAAAAAGCATGATGGCATTGCTTCTTTGCTTTTCCAGAGACGTGGGTTTAAGATGCTAAACTAGTGCTACTTAGGTTTTTGTGTACAGGTTTGAAATAACTTTAATAGCAGAGAATGAATATGATGTTGATTTCTGCATTCTTAAACAATCATATAAAGCATAAAGCTGAAATGATTTAGGAGGTCAATGTTGATCATCATTGTACTCACAGAGATAGATTGACCTTTTTATATATCTATTTTTTCTATAGGAATGCTACAATGATTAATTAGGATATAATAAGGCAATGATATACTCTTTCTGATGGGCTTAGAAGATGATGACTCTTATTTGATGCTTTAAATTGGCTGGGCAGGGTTTCCATTTGCGTGAAGGCATTCAAGCTGAACAGAAGCTGGTGATGAGTTGTTTCTCATTTTTATTTTCGAGAAAGAAGACAGCTTCCTCAGCTGAACAGACAATAGAAATTGATGAAGGTATGCTGCTAAACTTATTTAATGTCCTGTCACTGTTTGGAACTAACAATCCTAAGCAAAGGGCCTATGGCTATAAAGTCTGGCTAGGCAAGGGGATTACTAAATTGTGCGAATTTTATGCGACTTTGACGTAATTCCTGCAATAACACTGAAAAAGGGAAAATTATGTTTGGTAGCCCTGATGAATGGCTAAATTTTTCTGAACTCTTTGTTAGATTTGACCTTCTTTAAAATCATCTGGAGCTAGATATGGAATATTACCTCACTCAGCTAAAAGCTTCCTCCCATCCTGGAAAATGCTTCCTAGTTCCTTCTATATCTATTTTGTGCTTCCAAATGTTCCTAATGCATACTCATTTTACAGAGGTTTCAGGTATTCAGAACACTACACTGTTTACTTACAAGGAACTGAAAATGGCAACTGGAAATTTTCATTATTCCAACAAAATTGGAGAGGGAGGTTTCGGTATTGTCTACAAGGTGATTGCAATTTCTTTTCTTTTTTTAGAATAAGGCTTTAATAAATTCTTAAATAAACTAAGCCTTTTTTATTCTTTTAACATCCAATGCTACCAATCATTTTTTATTTAACAGGGAACTTTCAGAGATGGGACCATGGCTGCTATAAAGGTTCTGTCAGCTGACTCAAAGCAAGGGGTGCGAGAGTTCTTGACAGAAATAAATGTAATTGCAGATATAGAGCATGAAAACCTGGTTAAGTTGTATGGTTGTTGTGTGGAAGGAAGCCACAGAATTTTGGTCTATGAATATCTTGAGAATAACAGCCTTGCACAAACTCTTATTGGTAATTTCTACCATCTGGTTTGTGTTTGTTAACTGCTTGAACAATAAAAATTTAAGATCTTTTTACCTTTTAGGCGGAAACCGTAGCAATATTCAATTCAGCTGGCAAACAAGACGTAACATATGCATTAATGTTGCAAAGGGGCTTGCTTTTCTTCACGAGGAAGTTCGACCACATATTGTTCACAGAGACATCAAAGCAAGCAATATCCTTCTTGATAAAAATCTCATGCCCAAAATTTCAGATTTTGGTCTGGCAAAGCTTTTCCCTGACAACTTGACTCATATTAGTACACGTGTTGCCGGAACAACGTAAGTTCTTATATTGCTGTATATACTTGTCAGTTCTATCTCTCATTCTTATTGAAGGGACTAAATATTATGGGCTACATGATGATTTTAAAGTATCAATAAAATATGGTCTTGACATAATCTTCTAGAATAGTCATTTTAACTGTTTTTAATATGAAGTATACGTCTTTTTCTTGTGGGATGGTTGGTGATTTTTCTAACTACCAGGTCTTCTGGTTTTACCCAATTTTTTTTTTTTTTTACTCTTTATCATGTTTAACCTATTTCTGTTGTCACTTTTATTTTTCTTGTGAGTGAGTGATATGTAATGGATAACTTATGATTTAAACTGTCATAGGCCTCTCATAAAATGCTATTAGATCTGTTAAAATCTGATTGTACTAGAAACTGTTATGCACGGTACAAGCTTTCCATATATACTTTTAATCTAGGTCTCCTTTTAATTTAATTAACAATAGACCTAACTCCTTTCATCATTGTTAATTTGTTTGTGTATCCTTCTGGTTTATATAGAGGTTATCTAGCACCTGAGTATGCTATAAGAGGTCAGCTGACAAGGAAAGCAGATATTTACAGTTTTGGTGTTTTGCTATTGGAAATTGTTAGCGGTAGATGCAACACAAACAAGAGATTACCTCTGTCAGATCAATATCTACTTGAAAGGGTATGAATTTCCCTATGTTCTTATATTTTTGTAGCCTTCATTGCTAGGGTTATTTGAGTCTTTACGTATTATCCACATAACTCATAGCTTGAATAGTCTTTCAATGCAGAAACACATGGAGAGATAATAACCCACGTGAGACGTATGAATTCAATCCCCATTGGTTCTACAGTTTTTAGCTTAAACAAATATTAAAACATACTCCTGATAGTATTAAAGATAGACTTTCATGCAAGTGATCTTCCTGAGAAGTATGAGAAAAAGGTTGAAATTGCAAAAAGACAAAGGAAGTAGATTTGGCTTGCCAATGTTCCATGTAGTGTAAATAGAACCATGCAGTATTTCGCAGTTGGATTTCTTAGGGAGATTGGATGCATAGGTGTATCCGCCTGTTTACAAAAGCTTAAGGCTATAGGTTCCTGAATTGCTCAAGTATTTATGTCTGTACTTATTCTATTGTTTGATGTCAAATAGCAGATTCACATGATTTGGGTCCCATCTTTAAGATCAATCTCCACTTAGCTAAGCCGATGACTGCATACTTGGCTTTCTTTCTACGGCCAACACATAAGGAGTTGCCATTCAAGTCATATTACATTCCATGATGAAATTGTCAGTCTGTAGAAACCAACTAAAATCATTGCTTTATTACCGCTTCTTGGGAGATTAGGCATTTTAGAATTCTATGCTGAGCGACCGCGGATGAGCACATGCATATAAGACACCATTTTGGCCAAAAATTTGGTGGATACTCTAGTTTTAAACAATTGTCAAAATATGGCTTTAAAAAACATATCTGGAAGATATTAAGTTTCTTTTCCTTAAATCTTCCACAAAAATGTGTCTGATAGGGTTGGAAAATCACTTTAGCTCAGTTAAAGATGTATCAACTATTTGAAAGAAACAAGAATCTTTATTTTCTTTGAGACTGGTCATGCTGACTATTCTTGCTTTATTAATTCTTTCACATGTGAGCTGACTTCATTTGACAATTTGGATATACTTGTATTGCATCACCATTCATTTATTATCTGGTGGCAGTTTCTTGATAATGTCTTCCATGTTTGGGTCAACATGAGTCTTTTCATGGGTCAAGCTATCTTACCTTAATATTGGAGAGAAACTATGCTGTAGTAAATAAGTAATTGCTGCTATATGGTTTTCTTAACTTGGCCATTTCATGATAGTTTTATTTCAAAAAAATATACTGAAGAGTTTGATAATGTGTTTTAAGAAAGCTTTTTGTATCTACGATCATGGGGATCATTTGTACACATCTCTTCATGTAATTTTTTTTTCTAATTTTTAATCCTTACTTTATTCTTTTACCATGATTATCAGATATTTCTCTTTCTCTAGCCCTACATGTAGTTTCTTTTTGGCTAAAATAATAAAAAAAACTTGAACTTTACCACTTTACTTAGATAAATTCCCATACTTTTATTGCATCCAAATAAGCCCTTGACCTTTACTTTGCACCCAAATAAGCCCTTAAACTTTAATTTGTATCCAAATAAGCGCTTAGCATTTAATTTCTACCTAAATAAGCCTTTAACATAAATCAATTTTTTGTTTGAAATAAGCGCTTATTTGGATACAAATAAAAAGTACGAGTTTGTTTGAGTATAATAAAAGTATAGGGTTTTATCTAAATAAAGTGGCGAAGTTCAGAACCTCTTTTAGTATTTTAGCCTTTCTTTTTTCATGTAACCAGTAAATTGGTGACAAAAAAAGATTAGCTTCATTCATCATGAAGTGAGAGGAGAAACTAAAAAAACTTCTTTTGGCTTATTGGATTATTTCCTTTTGTAGAAGCATCTTGCTTCTACTATATGGAAGACTTATTTAAAGGGCTTTCATGATACGTAATTGACTGTAGTAGGAAGAAAGATTGGAGAAGGAAACAAAATTGCTTGTACATGATACATGGCCTATAAACAAGTTGTTAAGATAGGGGATGTGGACCTATGGCATAAATGTTGTAATTAGTCCAAACTATTATCGTCAATGTATAGTTTCACTTCAAAATGGGACCTCCTTTAATTTCAAAAAGTAGTTGGTGCTTGTTGAGTGATATTATCCAACATTTGTTAAGTCTTGAGTTTATTGTGGTATTATATTAAACTTGGGACTCTCCACGTATAGCCAATTAGTTTTAGGTTGAACTTTCAACATGGTATCAAACCCATGTTTGTTCCATTCTTCCTGCTCGTTATCCCTTCTGAGTTTGTCACATGATAGGCCTCTCTGTTTTGATTATTAGTAATGGATCTACACACGAGGGAGCCTGTTAAGTTATTATTCAACGTTTGTTAAGTCAGGAGTTTCCTGTGGTTTTACATTCAAGTTGGGCCTCTCTACCTATATCCAATTAGTTTTAGGTTGGACGCATAACAATGATTTTCTCAGGGTTATCCTAATCTTAGAAACATCTGTGTGTAGATAAATTGCATGATGTGGAACAGTGGAAGTGTGCCTCATTATCCCCAATCAACATGTGTACTGTATTTTGTGTACTCTGAGCTTCATCTGTTTCCATTTGGTTCTTTGGTGTTAGATTTAAGATTTGGAGTCTCCTTGCTTAGTAGATATACAACTGCAGGTGTGGGACCTGTATGAACGAGGACAACTAGTGGAATTGATTGATACATCATTGAATGGAGAGCATAATGATGAAGAAGCTCAGAAATTCCTAAAGATTGGCTTACTTTGCACCCAAGACATGCCAAAGCTCCGACCATCCATGTCTGAAGTGGTGAAGATGCTAATGGGTGAGGAAGCTGTGGATGACCGGGATATATCAAGACCTGGCTTGCTTTCGGAATTCACGAGTCTAAGAGGCCAAAAAGACAAACATGACATGACTTCTGAAGGCACAAGCAAAGAGGTGAATTCTCCATCATCAGAAAGTATCTCCACATCTTATGCTGCAATGACATTCAATTCAATATATGACCGAAGCAATTAGGTTGGTATATATTGTTTTGGTAATCATTGGCTAGTGTTCTGAAATTTTTTCCCTGGTTTTTTCTGAGTAAGAGTCAGGGCTTTGGAAATTGCTAGCCAAATTATACCTTGTTCATCTTTTCTGCTTGTGGGACCTGAAAATGCTATAAATTTATGTAAGTTGTAATCAATTAGGCCTTTATATTTTGATTCTTTTTAAATTCACTTGAGTTTTGTTAAAAGGAAAAATGTGCAAGAAAAAATACTGCAAAGCCAGAGTGTATATGAACAATACTTTTGTGACTTCAGGTGAGTGAACTCTTCCTTGCTCACTCGGCTTCTTCTTTCCATTATAAACAGAAAGCTGTAGGTGTATTTTCATTATTCTGTGTATTTTGTAATGAATCAATCTCTTCACTGTTTTGAGGAGTTTGTTTTTTCCTCCAGTCACACAAAAATGAACAAGGTATAATTCCTGAATGAATTTAAATAAACCAAGCAGCTAGATTTTGCATAAAGTCATATGCTAGATCAGTGAATAAAAAAAATGATAGCTATTAAATAATAATAACAACGAAAAAAAGAAGAAAAGATGATCTAGTGTCTTGCTCTATAACATCTATGCCACAAAATCAATAAACAAAGCACTCTATATCCTATTATGAAGCCCGACATCACAGCTAAATTGCTCCATTTGTGTGAATCTTCCAGATTTTGCTGTCTTAAGAACCAACTTCCAAATAAACGACATTCTCCATTCTCATATTCTATGCATCTCTTTTGGCCTTGTTTTCCTCCAAATTCGTTTATCATAAAGCACTCAAACGGGTACTTAAACAAACTCAAATAATGCATGAAAATCCAGTAATTTGGTATCTTATCTTTAGCTATAAAATACCCTGAAAAAAGAAAGAAAGATCCCATCAGACCTGCAATCACTGAGTTTCCCATAATGAAGTTTGGCACAAGAGCACTGAAACATGCCACAAAAGAATTGGACATCAAAAGAACCATCCAAACCACCAAGGAGAAGTAGAGAAACCCATCAATGTTGTCTCTTCTCAAGCCAACTAGCCAATAAACTGGTGATGTGAAGAGGATGCCAACCATCAAAAGAAAAGGAAGAAAAACTATGGTGTTGGCTATGACATAGGAGGAAACTCTATACGCTCCTCTCGAAGTCTCTCTCATTAGAATTCTTCTCTCTTGCAAGAAAATTGGCAGGCCTTCTGTTGTGGAAGATAGCAAGAAGGTGAGAGTGAAGGCGAAAAATCCTGTTTGAGTTTGTAAGCCAATCCTTCCTGTATCATTTCCAACATTGAAATATATGGTTCCAAGTACAAATCCAACTAACAAGGCTTGTATAACTCTTGTGGCAAAGAGTTGCTTGGTTCTAAATATGTTGCTGCAAAATCTTTGTCCTAATATCAAAACCTCCTCCAACCGAGAATTCGGGTAGAAGAGAAGCTTTCTTTCAAGATGGATGGGGCTCCTCAATATTCTACAATCTTCACGGTTTAAGTTACTTTCAGATACAGAATTTGAAACGGCCAAACTTTCTATTACATCGATGGCAAATTCAAGAACATTGACACGACGAGGGATGCGATGATCAGCAAACTTTAGCCTCTCTTCCAGAAGATTCAATGGTCCATTATGAACGACAAATCCATTTGAAAGCAAAACAATGCGATCAAACAGCTCGAGGATTCGAAAACCTGGTTGGTGGATGGTTAAAATAATAGTCTTACCGTGATTAACTGCCATTGATTTTAGCAGTGTCACTATTTGAAGAGCTGAAGCTGAATCCAATCCTGAAGTTGGTTCATCAATCAGGATAACGACAGGGTCATGAACCAAATCAACTCCAATTGATACTCTGCGCCTTTCTCCACCAGAAATCCCATTATTTGATCCCTCACCAATCCTGGAAGCTGCCACATGCTCCAATCCAAGTTCCTTCAATAGCCCTTTCACTCTAGAACTGGCTTCCTTCCTCCCTCCTGGTAGCCTCAAAAGCGCACTATACATGAGCGTTTCTTCAACGGTAAGCAGTGGAAATAGAGCATCATCTTGGGTAACATATCCTGAAACTCTCCGAAACAGTTTAACATCAACAGGTCTGTCATTGACCAGCACTTCACCTGATGCCACATTACAGGGTGGTATCCTTCCAGCAAGAATCTCTAGCAATGTAGTTTTTCCTGCTCCACTTGGTCCAGCAATTGCTGTAATCTGTCCAGGCCTAGCTTCACAGTTCACACCCTTCAAAATGAACTTGGTAGCTCTATCTGGATTAATCCGGCCACAAAAATTCAATCTGAACTTTTCAAATTTGCTTCTTAACTTGTAAGACAAATTTTTAGTTTCTACCCTGTATGGAAGTTTCTGGCCACCGGAAACCGGTGACTTCACTGGCAATTCCATTGAGAGGAAGAATGGTGAAAGTTGAGAGGAAAACTGAGATGCCTGAGGTTAAATGAAGAAAGGATATAAAAGGAGATGAACTAACAAATACCAAATTGGGTATCCTTGACGAAGCAAAAGCAAGTAGTTAAGTTTGCATGCATGTGAATTTAGCCTGTTTTGGGGCATTGGGCTTGCTTGACTTGGTTTTTAATTTCCCTAAACGAAAGAAGAGTTTTGTTGGGGTTTGGATAAATGAGACAGTTCACAAGAAACCCAAAGAAAATACAGAAAAAAGAAAAAGAATCAAAGAAATGAAACAACAATTAAATGATAGTCTTCGGCCAATACTGAAAAGCTTTTCAGGTGAGCTAATATGTTGACTGCCCAAGGCGTTAATGTTGGTGGCCTCACCCAATCCTCCCTACCTTGACAGCTAAAATAAGGTTGGTTGGAGAAAGCTAAAACAATTGGTCATCCTACGAAATTTTCAATTTGGGGCTTGTAATGAAACAACACAATTATTCCCAATTTGGTCATCAAATTTGAACTTAATCAATCAATTATTCCCTACCTTGTATTTGAACTATGAAATTAAGGCAACTCTTACCTGTCTATGTATATCAAACTAACCTATTTTTATAGTTTTCCTTTGACTTGAAAGAAAAATATTATTAATGTTTTCGTTTCAAACTGTTCAACACAATAAAATTTTTATACTATGTTTGGGATATATTTAATTGAAAATGTCACAAAGGCCCAAACTGGCAAAGCTGTATAAAAATATGTTGACATTAAACAAATTTCATAATTCATTGTGACGAAAGTTTTTATTATATTGTAGGCAAAAAATTACAAAGAATATTATTTTTATCGATTGTTGTTAAGATTGAATCTAGAATCCTTCCTCCTGTAAGTTGCAAACAATTCGCCTACTTTATCATCCCAATTTTGTGTCACTCAAGCATTACTTTTCAATGACTAATAAGGATGAGCACTATCTTAATTTGGTGCTTGAATATGTTCCCAAGACTTTATCTTGTACAGCATAGCATTAAAGCATTATAGTAGAGTGAATCAGCAAATGCCTCTGATATATGTCAAACTCTATACGTACCAGGTACAGTTCCAAGCCATCAATATATTTTACTTGACTCGTCTGTAATGGTTGCAACACGATTTGTATATAGGACCAATGTATAGAAAAAGTGAAGAAGAATAGTTTTCAGAAATTTCAGGAAATATAATATGCTTAAATGGCAATGCTATCATCATGGATGCACTGGCACGTGGATTATCATGGCTGTAATGATTTTCTGTCGCCTATCCTATTTGATTTTTGCAATTTCATTAAGTCAACAATTTTTTTTTTTATTATCTCTCTTAAAATGCTTGCTGCAAAAGGAGTATTTCAAGTACTATTATTAATTTCCCGCAATCCAATAAGCTATAGCAAAATAGCATGTTTATCTGATTTTTAGGAATAGGGAAAGTGCATGGATGATATTTGTTCTTTTTTTTTTTTTTTGGTTTCTATTCATTTTTCAAACTTTGTGGTAGGTTTGTCTTTTTTAACTTTTAGCCCTAAGCTTCCAAAATAATTTATATATTGAAATATTTTAGTTGGTGAGATTAATGTATTTATTAAGTCTTTTAGTTGATACAGTGCATTATTGAGAAGGAAAACAACTTTAAACAATCAGGAAAGAAATGTCAATCTTAAGCATAAGATAGATATCACTGGATTTTTTGTTATTTTTAAATAAAAATAATGAGTAAATAAAAAAAATCACTTACTCTTCTATATCCGTCACAGAATAAGATTTTATGCTTAACATATATAAGAATTATATATCAATATAATTTTTGTAATATCTCATCTATAATATGCTTTTGAAAGCAAATACTTAATGTACTTTTCGTGTGTTTTTGTTTATTAAAATATATACAAACATTAATATAACATTATTTCATAATTATATTGATTTTTATTTGTGCCTTTAATAATAATAGCACCGTACCGTAGTGCGAGTGTCACACCTTAGGCGAGCGCGCCAGGCACATCAGGCAGACCAACAGACGAGCCAAAGGTTGAGGCCCGCAGATCAGGTGTCATGAGCCACCCTTGTATAAGGTCATGACCGGGACTTAGGTTGTCATGAGCCACCCATATATAGGGCCATGACCGGGTAGATCCCTTGTGCTAGGAAAAGTGTCCCCATTTCAAACATTGTAATGGTTACTAGTAGCATAGCTCTAAAAGCTCTAAGGCTCTTTAGGAGGGTGAGCCGGTAGTGTAGTGTTGGGCTGTCTCACCGAATGCTATGCGAGCTTAGGCCACCCACCAAGGGCTGTCCCCTGGCCCTGGTGATGGTGGGAGGTCCCGATGTATGATTCACGTTTATAATAAAATTCACCCCGATTGAATACCCGATTGTTGCCTCGATGCGTTTCTTTCTTTCTCGATGTGAATGTGCCTTGTTGTGTGTGTATGCTTGAGATTGACCTCAATATATTGTGCCTTATTGTGAATGCTTGAGACTAACCATGGTTTATGGTTATTTGTTCAGATATCGATCAATTGAAGGTTGACTTGGGTGGAAACGTCCATTCAAGTGCCGCACGGCTAATGCTTGTTGAGAGAAAGCTTAGTCTGTGACACGTGGTATCAGAGCACGGTTGAGAAGTGCTAGAGAAAATGAATGAGATGGCCACAAGTGGTGGACCGGATCATCAACAGAGAATTGAAGAACTTGAGGCTGCGGTGGCCGCAATGAAAACTCATATGGTGACGAAAGACTGAGTGAGGGAGATCGAGACAACCCAGCGGGAGTTGTCCGATACTCTCCACAATGTGAGCGAAGAAGCTAGAGATGCCTTGAACATTTTTCAAAAGGAGTTTGAGGAGCTCAGAGTACAGGTGAGCATCCTACAAATGGCTGTGGCCAGATCGGGTTCGAGCTTGATGGACAGGGGACAAAGGCCTAATGTGCCGGAGCCTCG